CACGCCTCTATAGTTTAGTTTTGGCCTTCCTGTTTACTTGTTTAGGCTGTTTATTCTAATCCCACCTAGCCTAGCCTATTGTTTCTAATCATGCTTGCATGAAATTCTCCCTTTATACTATCTGGCTTATTCAACCCTCACTCACTCGCCACTGAGGAAGGACTAGTGTTGTCCGAAAGCTCTGGTTCTATTTCTGGCTGTTTACTTACGTTTACTTTTTAGCTGTTGCTTATCATTTGTGCATAATCTGTCTCTTATACACATCTAGATGTGTATAAGAGATAGATTTTTCAGTGGGATTGAGCACTGTTTCACAAAAAATTGAGAATCTATATATATATATATATATATATATATATATATATGGGTGTGTGTGTGTATGCATATATGCGTACATGCATATATGTTTATTTCCTTTTATGTTTTTTGTTGACATATATTTTTTTGTTGCTACATTTTGTAAAGAGTTGTTATTTTGGATGCACCGTTAGGTATTGTCTAACGTGTGCCGCTGTTTATCTACCGCCAAGTCACGCACCAATGAGCAAAATAAGCAGAAGCTAATTCTTCGTTTTCTCATAATCAGTCAAATAAGTGCACCACAATTTGTGGCAATTGAGAGGTCGAGATTAAAGCCTGCTATTCAAGTGAAGTCACGTGTACCAAAACACCAAACCACGCCATACTTCCACATACACTGATCACAAATAATGACATTTCCTCCATTATAAAATGGTTATCATGTCCATTAATACTATTATTAAGTTCTCATACAAAAAAATCTACAATAAGCACAATAACATGGGAATGACATAATGATAATGCAAAAATTGGAATGATATAATCCAAATATAATAGGCCAATTATTAATAGTCCTAGAGGCCTAATCATGGAGTTATAATTATTTTTAGGCTCCACGGCCTAATAAGTACCGGTAAATTGCGGCTGACAGAGCCGGAAAATCTTCACATTAGTAGTAATAAGCCTAACAATAGGTCTAATGACAGTAACATTAACATTTTAATAATCAAATTTATTATCATATTAGGTGTATGTTAACCTTATCACGTTACTTTCATTTTACCACAAGTAGTAGTAACTAAATGTCGGCTGCTTTGGAGTTGCAGTTGGCATCAGGAGTGTTGACATAGGATGGTACAAGGGTCTGGGAAAGTGAGGGAAACAACTACGAAATACTAAAGTGGTTTAACCAGGGAACAGTGAATTCAACTATTTGCAATTTTCTGCTCAACAATTGAGGGGAGGAGGCACAGTTTTCGTGATGGGAGACTAGATAATTATGTCTAATACAAAATATCGAGAATCGTGTTTAGTATTCAAGCTATAATTTTATATCCACACACACTTATACTGAGACTTACAGGCATATAAGAAAGTATAATACATACTCCAAGTATTGAAATACACGCCATCGTGTTGGGATTCAATATTTCGACATTAATTTATGTCATCATGATGACATATAAATTAATGTCGAAATATTGGCGTGTATTTCAATACTTGGAGTATGTATTATACTTTCTTATCTGAGATTAATCAGTGGACCTTTCGGTTTTTACAGGCATAAGGTTTCGATAAAAAATAATATGCCATGCAGAAATTCATACCTGCATGACAGGCAAAACTGAGGCTATTACACCGTTATTAATCAATAGAGCATTCATTACCTTTTTGACAAGGAATCCTTCTTTCAACTTCGCTGTCATGAATATGGAGACAATCAACACGTCGGAAATAAAAAGTAGCGATGTCAAAAATACAAGAACAACATACGTTATAACAATTACCAATGCTTCTGTGTTACCGCTGCTAACTGGACCGTGGAAATGGTCGTTAACAAATACTTCATATGGTATCAAAAAGGATGTTGCGACCAATATAACCGCTGACTTCCTGGTTCAACACTGGGTATTGATTTTTTATCGCACAATGAATTTGGCGGCGCTCTTTATATTATTGTTGTTGTTGATGGTGAATTGAGGTCAAGAGAACTATTTGTGCTGTGACAAAAGGTATTGTCTGGACGAAATTTGGAAAACCCCCAAGAAACCATTGAGTTATTCTTAAAAGTATAAACATTTAATAAGACCAGTGAACTGTTCCCTGATAAGACACACCACATCAAATTAATTGTTTTCGCTCATTTTAAGTTTTTGCAAAGCATTGTAGTTTATTGTGATATGGCCTTCTCTACAACTGCTACGAAGCATTGGAACTCCTCCCAAATGATTTTAATAATAATAATAATAATAATAATAATAATAATAATAATAATAATAATAATAATAATATTAATAATAATAATAATAATATTAATAATAATAATAATAATAATAATAATAATAATAATAATAATAATAATAATAATAATAATAATAATAATAATAATAATAATAATAATAATAATAATAATAATAAATAATAATACACATTTTTAAAGCGCCTATTAAAGCAAACAAAACTGGCTTGTCACCGGCGCTGGAGGATGTTAGAAAGAAGTTGAACTATTTGAAGAGGAAGGATTTAAGAGTAGATTTTACCACCGGGCCCCTACATGATATATTTTATCTATTTTGTAAAAATTATACCAAAAAGCAAGGTTACTATACAAACTATTAGGCCTATAATTATCAAAACGTTCTTTATGAAAGAATAATTTTTAATGTAATTTAATTAAAAATGTCCTTTACTGTCAACAATAAACCTTAATTTAGAAGTACATTTCTGTTGCAATCAGTTGCTGGGTTTTGCAATTTGTCACAGATTGACTGGAATAACAGTGAGATTGGACGGCTATATTTACTTACTTATTTGAACATCGACAATTTCGTTACAGTTGCATTCGTCGATTGACGGTGCATTCAAAGACAACAAAAAACATTAAAAACATAGACCTAACCATTCAAATTAAATTAATACCAAAAAGCACAGCACTACATACATTCTAAAGATGCAATTTTTCCGTAACTTCAGTATCATAAATACAAAACAATTTTAAAAAGTGTTGTAATACTTAATTAAGTCAAATGAATTGAAGCATAAACAAGAAACAGGATACACATACTGCACACATACACATGGTACCGGTACAGTACATCACATGCAGTCACACTATACCCACCAGAAAAAAAAAGCAAAGCACACGTATGGAATACATACACACATCTACCCACAGCACATTGGTCAATACATATCTAATTAATTAAGACAAATTTGAAAAAAATATCAATATTTTTTTAAATAATTAGTATAACTAACTATATCGCAGTAGTTTCTTGCAATATTTTTCTTTTACTTTGACATTTTGACAGTGTTTTTTTTTAAAGCTTTATATCTCTTAGATATATTTTTTATGCTTTATTTTATTATTTTTTTTTAATTAAATCAAACTACTGACCTTCTTAATGACATAACACAACATGCTTTTTAATCCTGCCATCAACAAGGGTTTTTGTAATCGTTTTTAAGAAGTTGAAAATGATATGGTCTATAAAAAGATTAGGCCTATTTCAATTTATGTAATAGGCCGAGGCATACTTTAAAGGACACGAAAATTCTAATTATGTCCTCATGATTATTACATAACAAGTTGCATCAATTTCCCATATTTATGAGTTCAAAAGATAACAACAACAACAATAATGATAGGCCTAATAATAGTAATAAAAATAGGCCTAATAATAATAATGATAATAATAATAATAATTGTAATTATTATAATAATTATGATGATTGTAAAAGCATGATAATGATAATTATTGTTATTGCTGTTGATGATTATAATAATAATTACAACAATGATGCAGCTTTTCATTGTATTTTTTTTTATTGTGTTCGACTTTTTATGTTTTTTATTTTAACGTTTTTAAAAGTCTGATGATTATGTGTTGTAGGTCTACAGTAGACCTACTGTTGTATAGTATCGTATTTTAATGTTTTTAAAGTTTTTTCGAGCAAAACATTTTCTTCTTTTGGAGACAATAATAAAGGGTTTTTTTCTGATTTCTGATGTTACCGTTTATTTTTTGTGTGTACTCTTACTAAATTGTCTGTAGCTTACCCTTTTTTATGATTTTAGCCATTCTCTCTATAATTTCTATTTATTCGGAAAATCTGGCATAAGGCTAAGTCCTCAGAAAACTACACTCTGCCAAAACTAGAAAATCATTTGCTTAATAGTACAGGGGTGTATCCAGGATTTTTTCTGGGTGGGTCGTCATCATAATTTTTGGACCTTTTAGAGGGAGACAGGAAAATCGATCATTACAGCGCCACCAGCTTCAAGCGGATGCAGGCTCAGTTTTTTATTCAAATTATTATTCAGTTATTTAAAATTATAGAAACATTAAACATTTTTTAAAAAATGAAAATATACAATCCAAATAATTTATTTTAAAAAAGTTATATAAAAAAGTACAATTACACACATTTGGAATTCCAAAGTTAGATTAAACTGATTTCAGAGGGCAGTAATGCAAACTAATTGGAAAGTTATTAACTGCTAAAAATGTAAAGCATTTGTAAAATATACTGGACTGTCGGGGATTTACATGAGTATTATTAATTATGATTGTGATTATACTATTGCATCGAGTTATCTTGTGGAAAAAACGGAAAGTAAATGAAATTAAAATAATGAGTCGTCTACCTGTCAGTTGTGGTCCCGAGAGTGATAAGTCGTTCATTGTTAGTAGATGGGCCGCTATCAACTGGCTTTGGGATACGGATACACAATTATGTTAAAAGATAGTCTCTCATTATTTATTCTTTTTCACTTTCTTATATACAGTATTGTATTTGTGTTGTTTGTACGAAGCATTGCAAATTTATGTATATTTTATATGGACCAATAAAAGTTTTTTTACTTGAATCTTGAATCAGGGTGGGGAGAAGAGAACAATGAAGTGGAACCAGCTCTATCGTCGCTCTAACCAAAAGAAACGCCCTCTCTTGGTTCTTCTGTCGAAAGGAGGTGAGGCTCCTGGGTTAACGTGCGAGAGGGGTAAGTCGGCCCTTTTTAATATGTTACACATGTATTACAAAGAGAAACTCTGTCCATGGAGGTATAAAATTATTTAATTTTATTATTATTTTATACCTCCATGATCTACTCTAAGCGCGTCTCTTTGATGTTAGGCATATTACTATGCTATTAGGCATAGCATAAGCCCTAGCTAGGCTATGCCGATGGCAGGCCCATGGCATGTGTAGGCCCTAGAGTAGTAGTAGTAGTGTGCGTGTGCCTAGGCCTTGGTCCGAGGTCGGCTTGGGACTTATATTTATTATGGCCTAGGTATGCACTAGCCTAGAGACTAGGCGCCGGGGCTAGTCATGGCCTAGAAAGAACCAGAACCACCAGCTCGTTTAGATACAATACTTTACAGTAGTAGTACTTAAAAATTGGAATTACAATTTTTTTTTTTTTTTTTTATCAGTTCAGTTTATTACATTTATTTATTTATTTATTTTTTTTTTAAATGTAGGGAGAGGGGCATTTTTAAAAAAATATTTTTAAGCGGAAATAAATCTAGAATGGGAGCATATAGGGATTGTATGTCATATTTTTAACCTTTTAACACTATGACAAAACATATTAATAACCAAAAAGTGAAAGAACAAGCTCACAAATCACTTGTCTGATCAATTTTGGAATACGGAAGTGTTGTTTGGGATCCCCACACAGACGTTCTTAATAGAAAAGATTCAACGCCGTGCTGCTAGGTTCACCCTTAAACAGATACGAACGTACAGCTAGTGTCAATGCCATGATCCATGAACTATCATGGAAAACTCTGACTGAAAGGTGCCAACTTGCAAGATTAGCAATGTTCTACCATACAAAATCCACAATAATCTTGTCACAATTGATATGAGCAAATACTTAATCTCAAAAAATTATACAGATCTCGTGCAGAAAACAGCCAGGCATACCTGTATAGTATTCCTCACTCAAGTCGGGACTTTCGCAAGATGTTATTCTTTCCTCGGACATCTAGGGAATGGAACATAATAGCAGAATCTACTGTCAAAGCACCAACTATTGAAGTTTTTAAGGGGGCCCTTGTTTTGAATAAATAAAATAATAAAACAAACATAGTGGTATAGTGTAGGCCTATAACATTCAAAATAACAGTTAAACACAATCAATTATTTTGATTGATTTGTACTGTTTATATTAATTAGTCAACTTTATTTGAAATTTTGTTTTGTTATCGATGTTGCAAGTGATACAGACAAAAATGCATGTGACCTCATTTATTATGGTGAATGTGGCTAGCTGAGAAGACCAATCTGCCAAGAAGTTTAACCTAACCTGTTACTTAAGAAAACACAGTACAATATACACCGCTGAATGATGAAGTTGCAGCCAAATAGTATTTGAGTCAAACGAAATGTAGCCGCAGAAGGCACTGTGTGCGTTCCATAATCCGATCCGCGACAACGATCACAGTGCGCGACGTTATTTTGTAACATGTAACATACAGTACCTATTTATTGTCACTTTTTGTCACACTAGGAAAATGAGACCTTATTGAGACTTAGGACTAGGAATGATAGTCTTTGTGTGGCCAGCTCTTTTGGCAGACAATATTTCAATCTTTCAATCTTTAATATTTAAATTTATTTGCTAAACTTAAACCTTAATTTTAGTCCTGTGGTTAATGTACCATTACTTGCCTACCGTAAAACCTCAAATTGAAGCCTACTGAGCTTAATCTCGAGATGAAGCCCATCTGGAATTGAAGCCCCCCTTTTTAGTTTGCAAAATTAGCCTCAAAAAGAAGCCCATGGGCTTTTCAAGATATCACTGGCTTCTTTTCAAGATATTACAGTCACATACACTGTACATGAATTTAAAAAAAAAAAAAAAAATTAAATAGAAGCTTGGTTTATACAGTAGTTTAAGTGATTTAATGCCAGTTAAATTCACTCCATGATACTTACAAATTCACAAAATTTACAGTATTTTGTAAAGAAGCCCTCCTCTTTACTTTGCAAAAGTAGTCTCAAAAAGAAGGCCATCTTGAAAAGAAGCCCATCCAAAGTTCGCAAAGAAAAGAAGCTGCCCAGGGCTTCAATTTGAGGTTTTACGGTCTACCATACATGCCAAGTTTGAGAGAAGGCTGGCTTGAGATTTTGCCATGGATGGGACTTCAATAGGCGTGGGTCCAGGGCCAGCCTAGTGGCAGGAAATTGTTTTGCCTCGATGGCCTGTTGTGCACTCAAGGCGCTCAAACATCACAATGATTTCTTCTGATGTTTTGAGTCAAAATAGGCCTGAAAATAATACGAATATGTGGGCCTTGCCCAAAATATATAAAATTACTGTAGTACGTTATTTGGGATGAGAGGCGTGAAAGCGGGAGAAATTTATGTGGTTGGCGGGAGGACTTAAGATGGGGTTAAAAAGCTGCAGTCCCTGCCAGATGCTGGCGACTTGGTAAAGCGTTTTTTTGTTGTTTTTTTTGCTGTATTTGCATTTGCATAGGACATACCCGTACTCGCGCGAATAAGTGCCCCGTTTGAATAAGCGCCCCTCTCGAAGAAGTGCTTAACATAAAAAAATTTCTTAAGCGCCCTGTTTGAATAAGCACCCCTCCCAATTTTGAAAGCACCCTCTCAACAATATCATGTGTTCTCTTTTTTTTTTGCAAGCCACTATCAATCAATCCTGGGACTGGTTGGCATGATTTGAGCTGCAGAGTGATTCACATTTTCTTCTTATGTCATTTTCAAAATGAGGATATTTCTCCTGGACAGATGAGAGTTCTCTGGACAGTATCTTTCCAACTTTCCTCTCTTATCTAGGCAAAGTCTTACTTCTCTTTTTCTTTTCCCTACAATTTGCACCTTTAGCACATTCTCGTCTGAATTTCCAGCCCTGCAGTGATCCTGCTAATCTCAATCGGCAGATGGCCAACAAGCTTTCCACTACCACCTCTAATTTCATCTGCTTTGTGTAAATACTCACAGCATTCTTGTCATGAACCATGCTGCTCTCTGGACGATTATTTTTCTGCACCAGAACCATTCGTAATCTTACGTTTCCAGATGTCCTTATGTAATCATTTTTTTTTCATTAAAAAAGAGCTCCTTGAATTTTCCAAGTTTCCATAAGAATCCCCCAGTTCATCTATTTCCATAAGCGCCCCCTCAATTTCAACTCTGTTTTCATAATTGCCCTGTTTGAATAAGTGCCCTGTTTGAATAAGCTCCTCTCAAAACGCACAAAAAATATTTTAAGAACCCGGGCGCTTATTTGTGCATGTACAGGCCTACCCATTTTTGGGAATTTTTTTTTTGCAAACCTACTAGCAACCCAACACAAAAGTTAAGCGACCCACTTTTTGGTAGCGTGGCTCTATTAAGCAATTAGTAGAGCTCTGCATAGTACATTATAGGAAAATTATTATACGAAGGTTAGATTTAATGCTTGAAAAAATTTCCTGAGGGCCTGCAAGGCCCGAAGAATATTTTTGAATGCATTAAATCTAACCTAAGTATAATCATTTTCCATTTAGTGTACGATGCATGCTCTACTAATTGCTTTATAAGTCAATCGCCGTCTTTTAATTTTAGTTTTTTATAACCAACTGTTGTAGCAGTCATCGGTTGCTATAGTGATATGATCAGTATATGTGTGCGTATTTACATTTAGCTGTGCGTATGCTGATTTTTGCTCCTGCAGTACGCGTTTATTAACTACACATCGGATACGATGAATAACTATTGTGTTAAAAAGAACTTTGATAGAATTTCCTCAAAGAAAAAAACGTTTCAGAATTTGAGAGAGAATACAGTCACTGACGTCCTTTTTGGTTTTTGACAGGTAAAATCGTGCGATGATTGCATAACTAGGCTAGGCTATGGCCTAGTAGTATTAGGAGGCGGCCTCCTGCCTGGCCATAGGCCTACATCTGAATTTGTTCCTTGAGTCTTTAAAATAGGTCTAGAATATTCCTATTAAACGTTCAGTTTGTTGTGTTTATGAGGGTCCATTGATTCAATGAATTCCTTAATTGTTCATACTTAATATTGTATTTGAAGTAACTTTCTTCGGGTTCTAATTAGTGGATGCTGGGGAATAGGCAAATAACATTGGGAGTTACAATGATGACGTCGCGATTGACTTATAACGCATTTTATCTTAAGGTTTTTCCCTCACCTCATTGGACATCTGCTAAGTGAAAAATTACATTCATTAGTAACCACCTCATCATCACCGTTATCAATCTACCACCCCTTACCCAATCATCAAGCACCCTACCCCAATGTCAGTACTAAGTTGGTACTCCTCGTTGCTGGAGTTAACACAGCAATGCATCTCAGATATTTAGGCACTTTACTCAGATGCTAATTGAGTCTTGAATCTTTCTATTAATTCAGATGTAAAATACGAAGTTCTGAGATGAAGTCACGCTTATAGAGTACCACAGTCGTGTCGTCATGACACCATTCATTTCGCCTGAATGACTTCATAGGCTTTCTGTAATAGGCATTTTAAAATCTAATATTTTACCATCAAAATGTAATAAAAACACAAAAGCTCGCATTATATTAGTTATCGAACACATATTAAATCATCATTTAAAATTTACAAAGAAAAAGTAAGATACAGCATCTTAATAATTACGTTAGAAATTGGGATCAGTGGTTTGTCGGTGGAGAAAATGACGTTGGGTTGAACGCATTTTCAACAATAGCAACGGAGTAGTATCATGTGGTGTCGTGACTTAACACTGTAGTACTCTATTTGCCCACGGAAAAGTTGTCTATTTTTTATTCTTAAAAAAAATACTGCTTGCATTCTAAAATGAAAACTGGCGCAGCTACAAAAATTATTCTTTCCCGGATCGGGGATTGAATACCGAGACCCCTATACCCAAGAACGTAGTGTTACGATATACAATCTTACCCAGTGGTGACACCAGCTGAGGTGGAGGTTTTGTGGGGCACCTTGTTGGACAGGCCTGAACCCCTGACGCCATGACGGGGTCGTCGGATCAAAAATAATAATTTTCCTATGAAAATTAACATTATTTTCATTGCCAGTCACTAACATTGTGGTCTAAAAGCATGATTTGAGTCATAGTAATTGCCATAAAAACTTGCCCTATGAACCCTACCAGAGATTTTTTATTCCGGGACCCTCACCAAGACTGCAGTTGGCCCCTTAACTTGGAACCCCTGTCGGACCCCTGTCAGCAAATATATGGATCAATTGCTGATCTTACCCAGTGCACCAGACGATTTTAGACTGAACATGTTGTAGCGCAGCTTCTCAAGGAAAATTGAAACATGTGGAACTGGCTTTGGACGGACCACATCCATCTTAAGTGGGGTAGTTGAAATGTAGAAGGCAGCAGGATTAGAATATAGTAATGAAATAATAATAAATGCATAGCGCATCACTAATGTATCTACAGTGTGCGTTGCACATTATTACCCCCAGGCATCGGGGACCCTTGGTTTTTTTTAACTACTTATTTCTGGGAGAGAAGTTGTCATTCTATTGTATTGATTGACCTACATTTTACCTTTAATGTCCTACTCTATGAAGCTTCTATTTAACAGCATTTGAGGAAGTACTATAAGTCAAAACTATTATACACAATACGGTATTTTTTTTTTTTTTTTGGCATTTTTTTTAATTTTTATTTTTGTATGCATTTTGTTCTCATGTTTTTGTCTAGTGAGCCATACACTACCTATTTTTAAAAATCCATGTTGATGACAAGAATTTAAGAATTAGATAATTGAATTGAACAAAGTGTCTAGAATTAATTGTTCCAAAGTCTTTACAGCTTTCATATCTTTGACTCAGACTCGTGTCTGTAATTTATGACCTACTTAAAACCACAGGTGAAATGTACGAAAAATATGGTATGAAATATGGATTTTAAAAAAAATATTTAAATACATTGGAAAAGGGGCGTAACCACACTTTTTCCCACCTTTCCCCCCCCCCCCAGTTTTTAAATATTCAGAATTTTGTATCTCATTTAACCATTCCTGTGTCTTGGAAAATTTAATTTTCCTGGCATTAAAACAGATATACATGGTCTATTCAATTTTTTTTTAAAGAGTAAATGGCTCATATGTAGTATGGCATCAACATCTATCAAAACAGATGATGTGAGTAATGAGCAAGATCTACCTGCTGTAAAGGAAAGCCGACAACATAAGCAGTGTCTTCAGCGTCTAAGATTTGCTTGTAAAGAAAGTAAGTACTTCAGGACAGATTGATGTACATACCATAAATTCTCGTTCATAATATGTATGATATTTTTTATGAAGCAAGAAATTTAGTTGTTTTAGAGGGGGGCATGCTCTCTCCCTCACCTTCCACATACAAATAAAACAAAGACCTACAAATAAAACGACATACAAATGGTAAGAATTTGAACAAGCAAATAACTATAGGTACACTGCAACACATACATCTGTCCCTGTGTTACCAATGTTTGATAGCTATTGAATCTGTCATTGTGTCAAATTCATTTTAGAAAATTTGGATAACAACTAAAAAAAGGTTTGTTTTTTTACCACACTAATTCCATTATTACACATCAACATTCCCATAGGACCTCTACCAATTATCTAATTTATTTTGAAGTTTAATTACATAAATACAGTTCCTTCTAGGTGTCTTGCCACTGTGTTTAATAACATGTACTAGTGTAATAAAGAGTTATTGATATTGAATGCTGATCAAATCTGCTTATCATTTCAGGTCCTTTTGTAAAGTTCATGTTCAAGGTCATGGAAGAAAATGGATGGTGAGCCATTCTTGCATTCCCGTAAATTGAACTTTTTATGATATAATAAATTTATACATTTATTGTTTCTTCTATGACTATTTCTACAAATCAGTAAATCAACTTCATAGTCTGAACTCTGCATGCCCATTATCAAAGGTCAGTTGATATAAACATTTAACAGACACATATTGTTTACGTCGATTGACCTTCGATATGGGCATGTGCAGTTCAAACTCCGAAGTGGCTTATTTTAGCACAAATATTATCCTCCTGCAGTAATCATCTATCATCCATTCAGCAGAAATCTACTGTTTTCCATACTAAATCTCATAATGAGGCACAACCCCCAAAAATAATTAGAAAGCAAGCATCTTAACCATTTGCCTGGGACAATACATCTTTAGCATTTATTATTGTGTTTTATCGATCATTGTAAGTTAAGGGGAATGTTTTATCACACTGTTTTAGTATGGTATAAATTTTTGTACTTTTAACAATTCTTTATTTTTTTCATGTAGTCCAGTGAACATATCAAGAAATATATCATGTGAGAAATGTCCAGAGGGAAGCATAATTAATGGAGGATTTGATCCATCAAATGGACAGATTGTTCTCTGCGAAAACAGAGCTCCATCTCAACGTGTTGTTAGCACTCTACTTACACACGAACTCATTCACGCCTTTGACTTTTGTCGAGCCCACGTAGAATGGAACAACCTGAGGCATGTTGCTTGCACAGAGGTGCGATTTTTTTTCTCATCTTGATAACTTAACACGTGTTTGTTGTTAAACATATATGTTATTACTTCGCCATGCAAACCTTCAAACAATACTTAACACATGTTTAAAAAAACTAGCTGTTTTCCAGCTTCAGACAATCTTCTTAAGATTTACTTCAATCTAAAATACATTTCGGAAGCAGAGGGAGGTAGTCATCCAACAATGAATGAAGTAAAATTCACGAATGAATGAAGGAAATAAAATCATGAATATTAAATAGCAATTTTTATCTGTGAGGGTAACATTACACAGTTTGTATACAGTTATATAGGCGGGGATGCGATATTCTTGGGTAATACTTTTTTCCCAGAGTCTGCATTAATTTGGCAAGCACAGGAAAGTATTCAAAACAACCGCATCGCGTACAGTACCAAGTGTAATGATCGTTAAAATGTTATTACCTAATTGATATTTATGAGGTATAGTAATAACTACTACTAATATCTAAAAATGTAGGCTACATTGATTGGATTAATAGAGGGATTTAGCGATGGGTGTAACATGACCTAACTTGGGTGTTGGATATAAACAATCCACTGACACAGTGGTGTTTTACATGGAGATTTCTATTACGGCCATCCCTTGTTTATTGCTGTAAAGATCATCATAATTCCCAATAAACTGTATCAAATGTTTTGCTAATGCTGTAAACATTGAGATTTTTCTACAAATGTTAGGCCTTGGCCCCTGCACATCTACAGCATGGTTAGGTATGCATGATGGTCTTCGACCCACGAACTACGCTGCGATGTTAGGGCCAGCTAAGGTTTATGAAGGATCACTTGAATATCAAAGCATACAATCCATCCAAGGAGAACGCAGGAAAAGTAAATAAACACTATTTTGAACAATCGTATTACCTGTCCTAGCCATTTATTTCTCACGTAACAGTGGGTGGTGGTTTTCGCAATCATAACGTTACCTTTTCCTATGTTATCACACTTAATGTTTTTCATGTATACCCAAGTTAGGTCATGTGACCGCCTGTAAACAATCATCGGTAAGTCCCTCTATTGTTCATTGAAATTGTTTACTTACAGATCCGTGCTGCTAGTCTTAGTGGAGACTGTTCATTCTTCAATCAAAATCTATACAGCAGAAAGTTTGGCTTTATGAAGCATCATCAGGTACATTGTCAGAAAAGAGCCATGAAAAGATCTTAACTTTCATTATCAAAATTAGTTAAACGGTAGTTTGAAAAACTCATATTGGAAGTTTGACACCATGTCACAGGTGGGCAAAGTGCAGCCCGACAGTGATTTTATTGCGGCCTGCAAAAATAGATTAATAACCCTATGGCCTGATACCGATCATCTGAAGAAAATAATATTAGAACTGAGCATAAGGTGGTATAAAGCAGTCCCTCACTTTGGACTTCCGGCCCATTTTATGCTACCCAGATTTGTATACTTTGTATACTTGAAACATGTGGTAGCCTACTTGGCCTTTTTTACCCATAAATTGAAATGTTAAGTTTCTGTGTACAGCACATACCAATGGCGCCAAATAAGGCACAATCACTTATAAGCTCTGTTCCTAGTATCACATTTTATTTGACACATTTGTGTGATTTGCCTTTATAAGGACATCTCTTTCTATTATTAAACATCTATAACCTTTTATTGGTCAGTCATCTATCTTCCACTTGTTCAACCACATTTTGAATATTTGTATCACTGTATAGTCGAAATGTTTTGACAATGATGTTGATAAATTGGGTAAACTCAAACAAACATGGAGCAAGGTTAATTTTTAAATGCTTATTTACTAACACCTTCAAAAGAACTTGGTTGGTTAAATCTTAGTTGTAAATTTCGACCTGAAAAGATCAAAGTCTTAAAGTCTTATTTTAAACTTGTTGAAGAAAACTATTCTGATTTACACAAGAAATAATACCAAATCACTTTCCCCTGAAAAATGTTAGTAAGACTATTACAAACATTCTTTAAATGGCAATCAAATCCAAAGACAACTTTAAATATTTTTAAAAGAAACTTAAAGGCATAGATCTTTAATTTTTGTAATTGTATTTTTTATACTGCATTGTTTTTTTAACTTAGTATTTAAATTTTAACTTTGTTCCCTGGGCACCAATTAAGGCCAGTCTTTTGATATTGTTGATAAATAAAATAAATAAATAAATGAGCATAATGATGTCATATTACTGCCAAACATCGGAAAAATACAAGTATTTGAAACTTGACGTCAATCACGTCTCATTCAATCATTTCTTGCATTTATATGGTGCCATTAAACCATGTCCATTACTGTATTTCAGAAATGTGTGCAGGAACGCGCAATGAAGTCAGTGATGTCGGTCCGTGATATACCTAAAGAAGAAGTCCAAAAGACAATAGATGATGTATGGGATATATGTTTTAATGACCATGAACCATTTGATAAAATACCAAGGAATAAAGAGGATGTTCAACGTATGGCGCGCCAAAGATACAACTATGATTTATGACAAAGGCTTTGGTTTTCAAAATATTTTAGAAATGGGAAAAAAAATATTTCTTGAAATTTATGAAGGTTGTGTGCATGGCGAGTATCAATAGTAGCTCTCAATGCAAAGTGGAGGGAGGTAGTCCCAATCATTCACAAAAACCGAAATAAAACCATTTTGTATTTGTTTTACTATACCTCATAACTGTGTGTCTACATAACTATTTCTGGCTTAAATTAAACAGTCCGCATACAACTATTGTGGGTAGCATTTTTTCCCCATGTACACATAAATCCTGCATATGCAGGTGGAATTAACCAATGAAATGTTATTACCTAATTCAGCGTTCCGCAAACTTTTTACTTTACGGCCTATTTACGATTCCAGGCTCCAAGCCGCAGCCCAGCTGCGCCAGGGACCAGCATACCAAATCCTGGCAAGAACTTTTGATCATGAAGCATCCGTGTATATACAATATTTTGATGACATTATCTGTTCTCTCAGTGATAAAATTTTATTGTATACAATATAAAATATTATTTTATTAAATAAATAATACCGTACATTTTTGTTTCTCCCCCCCCCCCCGGACAATTGTTGATTGTTTTTTTTCTTTCTACCATAATTCAACCAATCAGCCACACACGTCATAGCAGGGCCATAGCCACGAGAAGTGAAATGGTCAGGTTGCGAGCGAAGCCCCCTAGCCCCATGATTGGGGCTAGGGGGCCAACAATGGCCTCAGGTTGGGGTTCCGGGACCATTAAACTGTAATATTATTGTAAACCATTAAACTGTAATATTATAAATATTAAGCCATTAAACTGTAATATTATTAACTAAGACCAATCAACACACATAACATAAAACATGTACATCCCAAATTATTATGTTTAATCTTTCCTCGCCGGTGCTTGCATAAAATGTGATTTGGATCTAACATGATGATATTGATAAACAATCAAAATTCTCTGTACAATATTATGCTAAAAATTTACAGCGTTGACTTCCTTATGTTGTGGTCATATTAGACTGTAATATTATTATTAAAGAAGTCCATTCAACAAACAACATAAAACATATAGGCCTACATATCAAAGTTCTTAGGTTAAAGTTCTCATGTCGACATGCATAAAACGTAATTTCCTAAAATTTGGATATCTGCGATTGACAGACAAATTCTCTATACTATATATACTAATTTAACGAGTGGACTCCTTGATTTAAGGAAATATATATGTATATTGAGATACGCAAAATTTAGTAGGTTAGAAGTTTAAAGGAGAGGACTTCCTTATGTTGTGGTCATATTAGGCTGTAATAATATGACTATCATTAAAAACCATTCAACATAAAACATAGCAAAATTATTAAGTTAAACTTTCTACTTCGGTGCATGAATATAACGCCATTTTGGGATAGGCCTATATGAGATTTACATAACATTTGAATATGTACTAAATATAAAATCTTAAATATTTTACATTTTAATCAGTGATCTATCAGAAATACGGGGATTGGTTATACAAAAGCCTTCAGAACAACCCCTGCAATACCAAAACTGGGATCCAACAAGCAGTGAATATTCCATTTTGATTTAGTGTAGATGTTTTATACATATTTATATTTTATTAGAATTCTTTTTATTTTGTATGATTCATATGTTATATTTTCCACAGACAGATAAATGAATGCCTGAACTGATATTTTATGGGTTTCATATTACTTTCTATACAAAACAGATATCATAAATCATCTATTGTCCGACTGTGTGCATTGAACATTTGACGACGACAATATCTCCAAATTCCAAACTGTAACTTAGGCTATGGGCCTCGCTTGACACTTCACATCGAAGAGCCTGTTAATTAATCTTGCACAGCTTCCTCCTCATCATCATCATCTTCTTCATCATCATTATTAATTGTCCATAGCAAAGTAGGGAAAAACTATGAATTCAGAGTGTATTCAATAATAGACTTCTCATAATGCACGAAGTGTATTTCAAAGCATCTAGAAAACAAAAACTTTTCGAATATCTAAAAATTTATCTTCCAGCCAAAAAACAAGCTAGCTCTCTACTCATGACCCTCCCAATATGGGAACCCATCTGTGCGATAGCCAGGGTAAACTCTGGATCCGCACTTGACATGTATTTAATGCTTAAAAAGGTATATTTACAATACAGTATATTCATTTATAGAAAATAATGTTGCATACTAGAACTATCAGGAATATATACAGATAAAGGCACCGCTTATAACTCAAATAGCACGCATCATCTGGCACTTTAGCGGCTTGTGCGTGCGACGCATTCGCTGTAACAATGAAGCGGCTTTATTAAAAACTATTTTCTCCATGATGAAACATCTCTTTTTTTTCAATTTCAAGACGGATTCCCGGCTCTCCAAAAATGTTTCAAATAGTTTGCGGAACGTCAACCTAATTAATATTTATGAGGTATAGTAGTGAAACAATTCACTGAATATTTTTATGTCTTCTACAACATTAATAAACTAACCCGTCCAGCTTGAATGATTGGCACCATAGTCTGTGTACTTTTGACAAGTTTTTAAAAACTTCTGATGTAAATATCTTAAATGATATTAAAATGATATAATTAATAATAGAACAACCTCAAAATTACTAATAAATTTTTTGATAATGTATGTTGTCACATTCATTGATTTTCTTTGTTTTACGCTATGTAAATTCATTTGTAATATTGTCAACCTGTATAATTACCATTGAACCTCCAGAGTTTTAAAAATATGAAATAAATTTTTCCATATTCAGGAAAATATATAACTGTGATCATATGTAATTAAGTGTTCATTACAAATCCGTAACAGTGATAGCACCAACAGGGCCAGCCCCTGTTCAGACCAAGCCCACCATGTCTCCAAAACCAAAAATGTAGAAAAAAAGGTTTAGTATATAATATCTCAAGTCTGCTTGAATTATACAAAATGACCCAGTTCTCCCTCCCTTGGCTGGGTGTGGTCAGACGTCGCTCAAAATCTATAAATTTCTTCATTCCACCAACCCCCCCCCCCCTCCTCAAAAAAAGACAATTTAATCAAGTTTATAGTCTACTAATATGTAGAAAATACATATACATTTTTTATCTTTCTCCCCAACGAATTATGGTTTTTCTCCCCGACTGGTGCCCTGTGTCATATCTTCCTACTTCTGGCTTTGCTGAATTGATTTGTTGTATATGCCTCATTTAATTGTGTTCTCCATGATAATGTGCTGTTCAGGGACCCGTCGGCACTCTGTAAACACCACCTTTTATATCTGAGTATGTTATGTAGTGTAGAGAAATTAATTTAATTATGCCTTGTCAGTTAAGACTTGTCAGTGGAGACTGTATTTTTGGGGTTAACAACACAAGCAGCAGCCCGGGGAAGATTTATGGAGGGGCAGGGAGAACATTCCCGGTTTTCCATTGTTTTTAAAGAAAAAAATACAGAATTGCATACAAATGTTACAATATTTTGTAACGTATATATTTAACATGAACCATACCATTTTGGATACTTATTTATCTGTATAATTAGATTACATCTAGGCCTATATGAACTTTGTGCCCCCTTATTTCAAAAATTCTGAATCCGTCCCTGGCAGCAAGCATACAGTAAACTTCTATCTTGGAGCATCAAGGAGCAATGACATTGCCAACAGGGACGGACCATCCCTAATCACCAATGACTCTGACCATAAAACGGAGATAAGGTGTTGGATAAGTTCCTTCAGAGGTTAGGGTGCAAGGAAGGTGAAGCCTTAGTAACCATCATATTATGCTGCCCAAAGCAGCCCAAGAAATATGTAAAAGTTCAGAAAAACATGTTTTAGTTTTGGTCAGATGAGTGATGGGGATTGGCTTAAGATTCCATGTACCATATATGGTGTGAACAAATCACAGGCCACTGCAAAAACACATTCCTCCTTCACTATATTTTTGGAGGATTTATTTTTTTTATTTCTCTACTTTTTTTTTTATAGTCTACTGTATTTTTTTTTTGGTTTATTTTATCTGTAGTGTGAGTGGTTTTTCTTTTTTTGTATATTTTCATGAAAGTACTGTTCTGATTTCAGTTCAAGAAATTTGCCTGTTTCTTTATTAAGGAAATTCGAGAAGACATCTATTTGTTTAAACAAAGCCAAATTGGATTATAATTTTATAATATTATAATATTGTTACAGTATTATCATATACTGTTCTACATTGCTGTTTTTCTATTCTTTTCTGGTAGGTGGTATGGAATGTAACTTTATATGCACCACTCTGCTTAATTTTTACCAATATTTTTTGTTCATATCACACACTGAAGAGGGCCTATCATTACTAAAGATAATCTAGCTATAATAGTGACTTTGCAAACTGAGCTATTCCCTATGCAAACTAAGTCACAGATAAGCATACAGTATAGTTAAATGCCAAACAAAAAGAAACACTGGAAATTTGATTTGACTTTTAATGTATAGGCTCCTATGTACACAATCATTGCAATACTAAAGTACTAGTCAGGAAAAACATGTGGGAAATTTGACTACAAATTGTACAGTATAACATGTTGCAGACAATTTAAAAAGAATGAAAATAATTATGTACCATAATATTCAGGGCGGATCCAGACTTTTTCAAGGGATTGGGGGGTGGGGGGCACAAGATTTTCAGAATAGATGAGTAGCATATAACATTGATATGCACTGAAATTTTATAATTTAGAGGAAAAACGGGGTGGGTGGCACACGTGCCACCTCGTTCCCCCTACTGGATCCGCACCCTATTTGCCTGTATTTAATATATAATATACAAACAATTAACAATATATATTTTCACTGATACTGGATAATAAATAATGAGAAAAAAAAAACTTATATAATATAATTTTATATAATTTTCTTCGCTGTTAAAAAAAAATATTGATTCCTGCATAAAATATAACACACCTATGTATATTACAGACATTAAATGTAGAGAATGGTATGGTAATTCAGTACCGTACATGAAATACAAGTACAGAAACATGCATTTTATTTTGTTTATACTGTACTGCTGTTGGGATAACACAAAATAATGGCATCCATATTATAATATTTCTAAATTCAAATGTAATATACAGATATCATAAAACTGAGTGACATATCATTTATGTTCAGTGATTACCTTATGCTCCAGGACCATTAAACATTTTTATTTATTATTTTTTCTTCACTTGATTCATGATAAACATGGCCACAAACCCATTCCCCTAGACTTACCGCAAGTCCCTTAACAAGCAAGTCATTTTGGAATTCAGAGACAGATCAGATAAAAAAAAATAAAAACAGAAATTGAGTATGGGATGCCAATTAAATTTGGTATGATGCACACTGAGTGCAATAAAACAATTATATTTTATAGAATTCAATGAGTAAACTAAATTCAGGTCCTGAAACCTAGGCTACTAATTTCCAAGCAGTTATATGGTAAGCAAATAATTTGTTTACTAGATGAATTGATTGTTCAGTTTAAAAGTTCTGGTGCTGTTGAAATATGATTGAGCTAATTATAGTATATACTCATCTAACTTTGTTAACAACCTGTAAAACTATATAACTTTCTTGAAATCATTTAAATATATCCTGTGTAGACTACAGAATATGTTACATCATACACTTACATCAATTAATCAGTAACCAAAATGTTTATACAGTAGTAACTTGGTAAATATTTTCTAGGATATTAGTCTCCTAACTAATAAGAGAGCATCTTGATTTCTAGGACATTGTAATTTATTGAATCCAATTTCTGTGAAAAAAAAATGCCTGAATATATGAATAATACTTTTATAACATATTTAATTTTAAATGATGAACAATATCCAAGTTTCATTATATGTAGTTATAAATCTGCAATAATTCTTTTAATAATAAATGACTACCTGTCTGACATCTTATGTATTTAATCAACGACAAACAGGTCTGTAATAATAGTGACATCATTGTCTAATTCTTAGTCCATCACATACAATCTCCATATACAGTAATAGTATATACTGTATACCATACTCGCGCGAATAAGCGCCCCATTTGAATAAGCACCCCTCCTAACGTGAAAATTTCCTTAGGCGCCCCATTTGAATAAGCACCCCTTCTAATTTCAATAAGCGCCACCTCAATAATATCATGAGATTTTCTTTTCAGCAAGTCAATAATCCAATCAATCCTGGGATTGTGGTTGTTGGCATGATCTGAGCTGCAGAGTGCAATCACATTCTTCTTACTGTAGGTCAATATCAAAGTGAGGATATTTCTCTTGGGACAGATTAGAGCCCCGATCCCTGGACCGACAGTATATTTCCAACTTTCCTCTTCTTATATTTGTGACCTAGTCCTACTCCTCTTTTTATGACAATTTGCACATTTAGCACATTCTCATCTGAGTTTTCAAAAATGATCCTGCCATCCTGCTGATCTCAATCGGCCAATGGCCAACAAGCTAAACCACTATTCAACACCACTAATTGCATGCTCTTCTGCTGTTATGTAAATTCACAGCATTCTTGTCATGAGAAATGCATTCTAAACGATTATCTTTTCCCCCACACCACCATTCGTAATTTTCGGTTTCCCGATGTCCTTATATTATCTTTTTTTATTCAAAAAGTTCTTGAATTTAATACGTTTCTATAAGAATCCCTCAATTTTCATCTATTTCTATAAACGCCCCCTCAATTTCCACTCTGTTGTCATAAGCGTCCCGTTTAAATAAGCACCCCGTTTGAATAAGCGCCCCTCAAAAAGTGCAAAAACAAATTAAGCGCCCGGGCGCTTAATCGCGCGAGTGCGGTACAGTATATTTTAAGAATGGGATTTGCATCTGTATATAATAAAACGGCTATGCACAAGTTACTTCCAGTGCTGTCAGTAGTCAACTTTGTCTCAAAGCATTTGGCCGACGGACATCAGCTGCTCCCCAATGGCTTTGAATTTTGAAATGGAGAGGACTGGAGAAGTACCACTTTGCCTTGTCTGAATTCTAATTGATGCAATCCATGACGTGAATCTGTAGCGTGTCTATGTCCGGAAAATTTCTCTGGCAGACAGGACACAGGTGCATTGGTGACTGTAAAAAACAAAAAAAATACAAAAAATGCATGTGAAAATAAAGAAGACAAAAAATCATTTAAATTATGGTCATTGGCTAACAATTAAAATTTGTTGAACTGCAACTAATTAAGGTCAGTTACCTGTGAATTAGGAGGGGGTCCTGTGTGTTGGTAACCTCCCATGCCATACGGGTAGTAGTCTACAGGCCTTTGGTAAATAGCACCAAAGTCTGGTGGCATTACTGGTTGTGGTTGCATTGGTTGAGATTGGGAAGAGCCAAAACCATGACGCCGCTGGAGATTCTCCAAAGCTGCTTTTCTAGCAGGATTCGAATCCTCCTTCAGTTGTTCTATTTCTTCTTTTAGTCGACTAATTTGCTCATTCAGCACATCTTTTTCACTGTGTGCTTTTTCTCTGGCTTCTCGTTCTGCTTCAAAGTCTATCTTGTAAAGGTCAGCCTACAAATTTAGATATTTTGTAATTTTAGCATGGATTCCTCTTTTAAAGAAAATGCATTGATAACATTAAAGTGCTTAGCCTTTGTAAACAAAAACGATGGATAAATGGATGAGCAAACATTTTAGTAGTAGATGAAATCCTTCTACAGTTACTTTAAGTATACTTGTATAACAACAGATTCATGGTCTCTTAGTATGTACCAGGCAGCTCACCTGGGCCATTAATGCTGGACATTGATCCTTAAACTGCTGAAGTTCCTTCACTTCATCCTGCAGCTCTTTGATTTGGTGATACTTCTTTTGCAATGCTTCCTCAGATGAGATCAATTTCACTGTAAGCTCTTCAATTTCCTAGAAAGTGAGTTTAAAATTAAATTTGTACTCATTACTCATCCTCTTCATGCAAACGTTATTCCCAAATTGTACAGTTTTTAAGGCTACTTCAGGAGCAGTTCAAACACATTTAACATATGGTTAATGGTCAATGGTTGTAAAAATCTGTATCTCATTAACTGTTCCCCGGTTTTTTAAATATTCAAAAATCTGTATCTCATTAACTGTTCCTAAGTTTTTCGTCAAACAACTTTTTTCTGTCTATCTTAGAAAATACAACATATCAACATTTTTTTTCCTTTGGAGCCTCTTCATCAAATTAGGGGACTCTTGAAAAGAATGTGGTAGTGAATTCCAGAGCTTGATACCAACAACTGAAAAGAAGTTGCCATGAAACTCGGACAAAGTGACTATTAAGTATTAAAACATATTCTTTTCTACATAATTATATTCTATAATTGGCATTACAATGTAATATATTTGAACTCAGGGATAACTTAAATAATAATAAGAAATTATTATTTAAGTTATCCCTGAGCTGAAGTGTCATTTGCACAACTGCTTTAAAAACAAACAGTTTAAAACATTAGTGTGCAAAGTTGCACAGTTGAGCATGACTGCATGCACAGTAGATTATAGATTTTATTTATCAAATGTTGTTAAAATGTTGCCAGATATAGATATGAAAATAATAGTCAAAATTTCCAACTTGAAATAAAAGATTGCGGGTGGAAGGTGCTGTGGTGATGGTTGTCACTGTTCATAGCGGTCTTTGTTTGTTTTAGGTTATTTCTGGTTTTACTTCTTTTTCGTTTTTTCTCTTTTCTGTTTATGTTTAAAGCGCATAGAAGCTCAAGCATTATACATTATATAAATGTAACCTTATTATTACTTGATAAGAAGTAGCTTTTAATATTGTAAGCATATTGCTTCATATTGAAATTTAAACTCTTTCTTTCGTACCTTTTCATCAACAGCCTTATGTCTTGCCTCATCATATTTAAGACAAACATCATTGTATACTGTTTGCAGATTTTGGTATTTCATTAACAGATCATTTCTTTCCTCTCTAAAAATAAAAATATAAAATAGAATATTTACTGCATATTTTTTTTAACCAGCTTATTAAAAACAAAAACAATACTGTTAAATAGGAATTCACAACACATTTCATCATTTTAACATTTTATTTTCATCTAACTAGCAATTACTTTATACAATTTATTAATTTTATTTATTTAGTTATTTACATACTTTAAAGAATGTGGTACTTTATAAATATAAAACAAAGTTCTATTTGTATTTTATGAAGTGAAATTTTTTTATCAATGAGGAAAAGCTTAGCAACTGCAATAATTTAACTCAGGATTATGGAAGCAATTTCTTTATATCCACTAAACTCAGTTAAATATCAGCACGGGTCTACTTACATGACTACTGCCAACCCACTGGTTTCCTCATTAAGACGCTTGATCTCCACCTGCATACGTTCAATGATTGCTGTGTCTTGCATGCTTTGGTTATATTGCTCGCTGGCTAACACACTATTCTTAAGTTCAAGTTGTTTAATCCTGTATATAACACAAAACATATATTTATTGTCGTTACCATACAAACTGCCAATTAAGACACATTAAATCTTATCTACATGTTAAATTCAGTAGCGGATTCAAGGGCCAGCCATCTAGAAGTGCCATAATCTATTTTCTCACAACAGCCCATGGTGGGGCTAAAGTGGTATGAACCCTTCATTCTTTGAAAATCCCTCCCTGGGCCCCCTCTATTTCAAATTCCTAGATCCGCCACTGAAATTGTCAGTCTAGAATCTAATTTATATAAAAAAAATATAAAACAGTCCATGTAATACATGTATGACTTCTGCGTTTGGAATGATTTCCTAGGAAAATTAAAAACCCATCTTCATAATCTTTTTTGTACATCAAAATTTTTACTTTTAAATCTGATAGTTTTGCTAATTATTAAATGTAGTTATATTATTTGATTTTATGATTTCTGATTTAGATTTCACTTATGTATTACCATCTCAACTTAGAGTATTTGGTCTACAAGCATTATTTATTTATTTATTATTTATTTTTTATTAATTATTATTATTTTATCTTTTTTTTTACATAAAAATCTTTAAATATTATTAAAAATTTCTTTCATTAGTTATGCATTTTCCATAATATTACGATTTTTAAAATTAGAAATTTGTGATAAATTGCAAATAACTGGATCCAGTATACTCGCCTATCATTTCGTTTCTGAACCTGGATGTTGGCATCTTCAACTTGTTTATTCATTTCTTCAAGTTCTGACATCAATGCCATCACTTGTGATTTCAGAGCACGGATGTCATCTCCAGTACTTTGATATCGAGGTTCCTGTTATGATTTAGAATAAAATATTGATCTTGAGAAAAAATAATATTTTATCCTTTCTTGTCTTTGACATTGACAATCTAGCTTTTTACAAATTGATAACTTTTACAGTAAATAAAAAAATCAGATCAGATTAACATGCAACGTATCACTAATTAGCTCAAACTAATTAAGAGGCCTAGAGGAAAAAATTTTCATTTCTGATCGTTTCTCATGTGTCCCACAGAACAAAATCCGCTAGATTGAAGTAAATTTTTGGTTGATTTGCCATGGAATTACACAATGATGACAACGACAAAGATGGCGGCAATGAAAGGCGGAAACGACGACAATGGCGGCGACAACCACAACAACTACATACAACTGCTACTATCATTATTGTTATAATTAATACATACCTCCATGTAATTCCGAGCTTCTTCTAATTCTTTGCATACATTGTCTAGTTTCCTATTCAGATCTTCAACAGTCATCTCATGTTCTCTTTCTCTTTTTGATATTTCCTTGTTGTTTTTAGTTTGCAATTCTTGCTGCGTAATAAGGAGTTCCATCTCTAACTCATGAACTCGATTTGATTCAGCTGTAAGTTTTTCCTGAAGACTGGCACATTTCTGTCTCTCAGCTCTAAATATTAGCATAAGATTCTGTACTGTTTCCCCATCATCCGATGATTGTCTTCTAATATTCTTAACATCAGTATTTGGTGCACTTCCAACCATGACTTCAGTGGATACTGCTGGAGGATGGATGTCTGATGGTGGTGTCTTGGCATCTTTTGGCTTAGCCTCAGTGCACTTATGTTGCTGATAGTGGGTCAGACTTTGCTCAAGCCCTTCCTTATCAGTCTGCAGTTTGGCAATATTTGCACGAAGTTTTTCAAATTCTTTTGACTTCTCTTCATGCATCTGTTGGTGCTTGATGAGATCACCTTTGAGGGCCTCAATCTCTGACTGATTTCTAGTATGAAGGTTCTGAAAGCTTGTTAAGTCTTCATTCAGTTGGGTATTAATTGACATCACCTTTTTGAGTTCATCCCGCATTGATGTCAATTCTTCTTGAAAGCTTTCTGGGGCCTCAAGTGATGACTTGTTTGGTGTCTCTTTTGGTATCTCTTTTGACCCTTCTGAGACCAAAACCTGTCGATATTAATGAAAGTATTTAATCCACTCTTAAACAGGCAGTTATGTTGTCATTTTGTTTTATCCCCTTATTAGCAGGTTTGTAGTCAGGTTTTTAATAATATTATGGGTACCTACACTTAGGCTAACAAAGACTTTCCATATATAAACCTATCGCAGCCATGCCAACCCTACAAGGCCAACAAGTGGAGTCTGGAAAACTTCTAAGTGGAGTTTTGGCAATGTGAGGAGTATTCCTAAGACATGGTACCAATGTGATCGGATTGTAAAATATAACTGTTTTGACTCACAACAGCAACACCGCTGTGCAAGACTAGGCCCTAGGCCTAGGCAGAAAGTCAACACCACACCAATCACAACAAGCGCACTATTGGCATCACCTACAGTAGTTTTGATCTCAAACTGACAGGATACTTTCCGTTATTAACTTGCATGTTTATGTGTGTTTTAGCTTCTTTTCTGCAGGAAGCTCAACACTACTACTCGTTTCACGGTACTGCCTAAGCCTACATCCATATCGCTCTCATCGGACTCCATTTTCAAAATTGTGCTTTACTAGACTGTTGTTGTTACGAAATCAGTAGACCATGGAGCACTATACAGTTCAGAGTGCAGTGCAACTCTCACATCAATTTGGCCAATGAATTTTTTTTTTTTCAAAATCAGTAGACCGTGGAGCGCGAATTAATTTTTTGTATACAGTTCAGAGTGCAACTCTGACAGTGATTTGGTCAATGAAATTGGTTTTTTTTCTAAATCAGTAGACCGTAGAGCGCAAATTACTATTTCGTAAACAGTTCAGAGCGCTGTTTTCAGGACGAAATTAAGTGGTCTTGTTCTTATCTAAATCATAGGATTATAATTTTTATTCGGAAATGCGCGATTTATTTCAGCTGGCCAAAATGCGTAAAAAGCGGAGATTTGACCCAAAATCGGAGTGCGGAGTTTTGCTTAAATAAACGGAGTAACGCCGCCGAAATCAGAGTGGTTGGCATGTCTGCTATCGCACAGTAATTCTATTATGCAGCTTGCAACCAGGGTATTTTGAGAGGTTGGTATAACAATTATAAAATATTGGAACCCAATTAATTTGCTTAAAAAGCAAAAAACATTGACATTTAATCTCTGTTTAAACCACACAACCGATCATTACAGTGTCCATTCTCTAATGATTTTAATTAATTAATAAAAGCTGCTTTACACAATAGCATAGTTTGAGATCATATTCTCTTTTAGAAGCCTATGTTTTGCACCGACAGGCAATTGCCAGCTCCGCGTCTACAGTACATTTACATGACACTTGAAATAATTGCTGAAGTTCCGCCAGAATGTGCCTATCTCGGGTATAAGCCCACCTCATTATTTCACCTCCAATTTTCTGTGCTACAGTAGTCTTCTTCAAGCAAAAGCCCAAGATATGATTGAAATGAGTAGCTTAAAGATGTACAGAATTTAACTCGCTCATTTTGAAGTAACTTGAACATAGAAAGAGTGTTTTAAAGAATGTTTACCCATAGTTTTCTAAATGATAGAAACACTTCCAGTCACTGGAAGTGTAATATTTGATTAATTTTATTATCATTGTTCAGTATAAAAAACAGGGTACACATTTTTTTTAATTCAATCATTTCTATGCTCAAGTTAATAATTTGTATGTTACTGCAAAATGACCAAATTTAAATTTTTTTTTAATGACTTTTGTCATTTTCATGGCAATACATCTTTTTAAGCTTACTTGTACAAATATTCTCAGAAAGAAATCAAATACTGTATTAGCTTCGAGTTAAGCATGCTATTTGACTGAAAAGGGGGTTCCTTTAGTACAAGCCACCCCACATCCCAAATCCATTTTGTACATTTTGTATTCAAGGGGGGTAGGGGGTGGGTGGAAACCAGAGGAAATATGTATCAATATATTCTTACCATTTCCGTTGGCGGTTTTGCTGTTTCTTTTATTTCTGACAATTCTCTCGCTATCATGTCAATCTGCTCATCCTTGCACTTTAATTGTTCACTCATCTCTGCTATTTTTAAGTTCAGTTCTTTGACCTGTGCATCGGTCTTGGCTTCTGATTTTATTCCTTCCATTCTTTCTGACTGTGGCACAGTTTTATCTACTTCTACATTTTCATTGGTTTCTGAATGTATCCCTTCCATAATTTGTAATGAGATACCCTCAAGATATTTCTTACAATCTGGATCTATCTCCTACAAAATAATTTTTAAACATCTACCATTTTACATTGAATACGTGAAATTTTAATTCTTTTAATAAAAAGTAAAAAAAATATGCATTATAAAAGTAATCCTATAATGGTATAGTCTTTCATCTTCCAAATCAAATTTGCCTTAAACATTTAGTAAGATTAATCATATTTTAAATTACTTTTGATTTATCTCATTATAATCCAATTCAATCCAATCACTGTTTCAGGTAAAAATTATTATTATTCTTACTTTACTTATTGTTATGAATTTTTATTTTTTATAGATACACCATCTAAGTTAAGCTACTTGGAAAAATAACAAATTGCTTGATAGAATACTTAATGATTTGCTTTCATTTGTTAATTATATTAAAAAGAAATCTTTGCAAGGGGTGTTTCCCTTCTTAGATTCAATGAAAATAGGTTATTCACTTCAAAATTCATTTCAACTCCACTCCCCTCTTTTTTATCAACAATACCTTGGACTCATCCATGGTAATTAATTACCTTTTATTTTCAAAATCAAAATTTTAACTTTCAAATATGGTAGAAGTTTACTAAATAGATTCATCTCATTTTAAATTACTTTTGATTGCTTTTCCAGGTTAAAAATAATAATTATTCGTGCTGTTTTTTTCAAAGTGAAATGTGTATACCACCACGAAACAGGGGTGGAGCCGCAGAATTAGCAATGTCAGTACAATAGTAAAAACACGCCCACCACCAATTTCTCTGTTCAATATTGTTCTATCAGAACAGTGTTGCAGTATACCCACTGCTACATTGGGATTAGATTCATCACTGTCAACCAAGCGCAAACTAAGTGGTCTAGTGGTTAAGACACCAGGCTAGTTATCTGGAGGTTGATGGTTTCATTCCCACCCAAATTACTTGCAAGATTTTTTTAGCAATCATTTGGGACAAAAATATGATAATGCATCATATAGGGCACATATCATTTGTATTAAAGAAAAATTGTTAAAAAAATAATTATACCTTTTGGATAATGTGGCCAAGTCCTTTAAGAACAGATTCAAGTCAATCATTTGGGAACATACTGAACAAAATACGATAACGCATCAGATAGGGCACATATCATTTGTATTAAAGAAAAATTTAAAAAAATAATTATACCTTTTGGATAATGTGGCCAAGTTCTTTAAGAACAGATTCAAGTCGATGTTTGTATTGTTCACTGTCTTTTCGCACAGATTCAATGCTGTGTTTGTAGTCATCATTCTCTTTTTGCAGACTCAGAATCTTCTCCTTAGCTCGCTGATGATTTGTCTCGTTTACTTCCATCCACTTTCCTTGAGCACTTGTCATCTCTTTCATTTCTTCAATTCGTTTTGTGAGCAGTTGATTCATTTTCTTTAGTTGTTCTAAAAAGGAAGTGATAAATGTTTATTAAAGTCCTGCACTTTCGATTTACTTTGAATCTTCATACAATTATAAATGGTTTTGCACCAGTGCCATATTAATAAATTTTCTTGTAGAACCTCCAAATGTAGAAGATCCTTATTGGGCCCCCACTTTTTGAATGCCTGGATCCGCCACTGTGTACCACCTGCTACAAATCCGCTAGGTACAAATGAGGTCATGTACAGATACTGTACAATATAAAGTTTATTTACAAAAAATTTAATTGATTTGAACTTCACTGATGATTCACTTGAGTGCTCAGCTGGTGCTTACAATACTAAATATTGAAATGCAAACATTATCACTTATTTAAACACAAAGTCTATTAAATCAATCAAACACTCTTTCATGTAAGTTTAATGCATAGTACTTAGTGTTCTTTTTTTTAAACCATCTGATGCATTGATGAAAGTAATGACTGATCAAACTAGGCACAACGAATTTGGCCTACTAATACCTAGGGTCATTGCATGTTAAACCAACAATGATGTTATATGGGTCCTATGGTAATTATAAAAACAATCTTAATTTAACAATTAAAAGAATTTTACAAATTAACAGTTTATTAATTTTTGTTTGCAGAAAATACTTAGTCAAACTATGCAGTAATCATGCATTATTGCAGCTCCTTCTTACTACCTTGTAAAGTCTCTTTTTCATTTCCTTTTTTATTGGTTGCATATATGGGTCGGAGTTGTCATAAAATAGCCTTTTGCCTATTGACATATTTAAGAAATACTGGTAAAAGCCTTTAAGTAGATTTCTAAGTCAATTTCACACAGCTCCCTGTGTTGGCTTGTCATGCATGTATCTAAACCCCCGTTCCGCAAACTTTTTAGCCAGTACCCCAAACCATATATTCAACACTTACGACACGATCCAACGATCTCAGGCCAAATGATCTTGAAAAATCTCAGCCAAATTAATAAATATGATGTTATTATTGTGGTCAGGTTTGCCTGCTTTTAGTCACTACCTCAAGTTCATTGTTAAATTTTGTCTTTTATCTAAAGAGGTGTCATTTAAAAGTAAAATGTATGGAAATACCACCTTGTTATTTTGCTTCGTAATTATACAGTAGATGCGAAGACGTCCATTTACATTTTGACCATGTGCGAGAGATATCAGTGTTCACAATTAAAGACAATTTTTGGGCGATTTTTCTATATCAGGCGTATTTTAGTAAATTTGCGTGCTACAGATGATTTGCACAAGAAGCATGATTTAAAAAATAAAAAATGTGTAGTGTATTACTATTGAAATTTGCTATTTGTCTTTTATCCAAAGCATTACCTTACTCCTGTCCAAGTTAATCAGAACAGAAATGTATTGTTCGCTCGGTAAATGTCAAGCTAACTCACATGCATCGGGGTTCAGTTCCGTGTTCAGTTTTTGACATTATTTTTTTAGCACTTTCGTTTGTTACCATCATTTTTTTTTTTTATCTGAAGCGATTGCGCGAGCCATCAACATTTTTTCAAGACCCAAAAATTGTGGAATCAAACTCATTCACTGTAAATGAATCAGAAATTCTCTCTAAAATAGTGACAACATAATTGGGACAATCAGAATTCAATAAAAAATTGTTTTACTGCATAAGCTGCGATTTAATTTCTTTATTATCAAGAAATACGAAATTGTGTATAGTATACCATTTCCATATTTCCATAGAGATAATTAATCTTTAGACTTTTCAGTAGAGGTACAGAAAAAAATAAAGAAAATCCATACAACTTGAGACTATTGAGCCTCCAGCATCATGATTGTTTCTTGACCTTTTAAAATTCTCAAAAACACAAATTGATTTAATATTAATACAAACCTTTCAAATTGGTATTCTCTTCTTTCAGGATTTCCCATGATTGTATAAGGTTCTTTTCATCTAGCATTGTGTGATGACGGTTATCTGACAGATGGACGTCACTCAATGTAGTTGCTATGTCTACATCATTACCACTGTAATTCAGCACAACAAAGTCACCTTGCAAACTGGACAGATTTGCCTCAAATTCTTGACCTTCTTGATCTTCATGATCTTCTTGACCCTTGTTGTCATTAATATTATCCATGTTGTATCTGTAGTAGGATTCACATTGATGATTGTATACTGTTATTTGTATTATACTGGTGTTTTATGTACTTTTACGTACACCCATGCAAATATACTGTATAGGCTACTCATAGAGCTGTGATACTGAATCACTGCCACTGAACCACTGGCACTGAGACACTTTTAATCATACAACTGTATGTTAAACAGTATAACATCTTGTTAATATTCATTAGTATTGTTTATTCATTTGTTTATAACATTGTGTTTACAGTGCTAGTGATACAGCAAAATATACAGTATGTATACTGTACTATGATTGGCAATTCTAAAGGTAACTCAGCTACACTTTCGCACATTCATTTACACTCTTCATGCTCAACAGTAGCCCATCAATTCATTGGACTGGAATTTTCATTTTTTTTTTGTATTTTTAAACCTAACATCCAATGCTATAGTATTATCACCATTACAAAAATAATATGTCAACTTGTACCGTATGTATGCGTGGGACAGCTCGGAAAAATAGTAACTCATGCTACGCTAAAAGGACCACATGGTAAAAAATGACTAGTTTTTGGTTGACAATTTGTCCGGGCATACAAGGCATTGTTCTACTTATCCATTTTTTTTTTTTTTTTTAGTTTATTTTTCAAAAACTTGTAAAATGATCAATTAAACCAATTTATTTAATCAATAAAATGAGATATCAAAATACATCTACTGCTGGTAACTCATGCTATTCATTCCAAGTTACTGTAAAGATACAAGAAGGGAAGTATTCATAGGTTACATAACTGTCTCTTATACAAATCTAGATGTGTATAAGAGACAGGGATAATGTGGCCAAGTTCTTTAAGAACAGATTCAAGTCGATGTTTGTATTGTTCACTGTCTTTTCGCACAGATTCAATGCTGTGTTTGTAGTCATCATTCTCTTTTTGCAGACTCAGAATCTTCTCCTTAGCTCGCTGATGATTTGTCTCGTTTACTTCCATCCACTTTCCTTGAGCACTTGTCATCTCTTTCATTTCTTCAATTCGTTTTGTGAGCAGTTGATTCATTTTCTTTAGTTGTTCTAAAAAGGAAGTGATAAATGTTTATTAAAGTCCTGCACTTTCGATTTACTTTGAATCTTCATACAATTATAAATGGTTTTGCACCAGTGCCATATTAATAAATTTTCTTGTAGAACCTCCAAATGTAGAAGATCCTTATTGGGCCCCCACTTTTTGAATGCCTGGATCCGCCACTGTGTACCACCTGCTACAAATCCGCTAGGTACAAATTTTTTTTTTTTTTTAGTTTATTTTTCAAAAACTTGTAAAATGATCAATTAAACCAATTTATTTAATCAATAAATTGAGATATCAAAATACATCTATTGCTGGTAACTCATGCTATTCATTCCAAGTTACTGTAAAGATACAAGAAGGGAAGTATTCATAGATTACATAATGGTTGTTCAGACTTCTCAAGTACTATGGAAATTTTGCCTAATTACGGACATACGGAAATAGATAAAAATACTACGGAAATACTGTAGACAAAAAAAAATTATCACAAATGGCTTATCCCATAAGTAAATCCAGAACAAATGAATTTTCCATCAGAATATTCAATATTTGTTGACACATTGTGCCTAGACAACTCATTCTTGTTAGATTTACCAAGGAGGTATATTATTTTTATACCTCCTTGGATTTACTGATAAATTATAGTGAAAACATGTGAAAACTAAGAAAAAATTAAGTGTCCTTAAAAATCTTCATCCAGTCCTGTTTCCTTAAAATTCCACAACTGTTCCTGGAGAGAGTAATTTAAGCAACCCATATTTTGAACTCAAGAGAAACTAGGCCTATTATTATTACTAATTAAAGCCTAGGGGCCTAGCCTACCTAGGCCTAGGGCCTAGGTGCTACGGAAATGTTGTATTCACTTACGGATAGTTTTTTCACAAACTTGATTAAGTCTGGTTGTTTCGAACCATTATTCATTAAAAGCACCAATCAATGGTCCATTCATGTGTCTCAAGATCTAGGCTAAATCAAGGTAAACTAGGCATAGCGCTAGCCTAGGCCTAGAGCTATCACGCAGGCTAGGGCTAGTAGCCTACTAAGTAGGCCTACGACTACGTACGTAGCGTAGGCCTAGGCCTACGTCATTAAACTATTTTGTCTGTGCTACTGTAAGTCACAAGTGCCCATCTGCTAGCTGGTTTGAGCAGTAGGCCTAGGTCGGTTACTGCCTGAGAAAAGACGGAAATGTTTATTCTTTTGACATAGCAGCCAGGCTACGAACTAGCCTATAAGAGTAGTACTAGTGTAGTAGGCCTAGGCGTGGCCTAGACTTAGGCCAAGTATAAACCAGGGCCAGGCGGCAGACCTCTTGTTAAATTTTGGGAGGGACTGACCTACTGAAGAAAACACCTACCTTTTCTTCAGCTGTAAATTTGGTTAACTAAAATACAGTCTTTAACATTTTTGTTCTAAGCAGTTCACAAATACACTCTGGTAAATTCCATCTGTTCTAAAAATAACAATTTGGAAAATCCAACGCTCTAAAAATAAATAGGCCTAGGCTTAGCTCTCCTTCCTAGGCACATTGGGAATTCCCCCCACATATAATCGATTATCTGCATTCGACACTGTTTGGACGCTGGATCTCAGAGAGTGTTCTGACCAATCAGGATACAGTACTATAACTTTTTGAGGGATGGTAAAGGTCTCCCTCCAGTTAAAGACCACCTACAATTAAAAACAAATTTTCTGTTATCCCGTTTGAATTCCTCTCTTTTAACATTAGCTGTCCCCTCCAATAAAAGACTCCCTCTATGGTTTTGGTGGACCCAAATAAATATATTCCCCCCAATAAAGACCACTATAAATAAATAGTGATGTTATTATAAATTTTGTTAGAGAGCATAAAATTAAAATATTAGCCAATGCACATCAGAAGATGATATTTTGTGTGTGTTTTGTGTACATTAAGTGATGATAAAGAACTCCTTGATACAGAGATTGATGCTACAGTTAAGTGGCCCTATTTATTGTTTTATAGTAGTAATTCCCAACATTTAGCATTCATTTTGAAAAGAAGCCACACGCTTTACCTTGCAAAAGTAGCCTCGAAAAAAGAAGCCCATCCAAAATTCGCAAAAAAACCCCAAAAAACAGAGGTTTTGCTCGTTATGCGTCGAGCGTCAGACAGACCCCAAATGCGTAATACTGTATTAATGGAATATTTTAATGGAAAGTTGCTAGAACAAATACGAATTATTGATGTTTGGATTGCAAGGAAATCCTTTTATCCCCTATAAAAAAAATAAATTGTTTAGCGTCTTATTTTCTAAAAATCCTTAGGTAGGGGGTGGGGGAGGTTTCTCTTTCTTTTTTCTAAGCCAGAAACTGCCAAAATTCTTTGAAAACCGACTATGTACGTAACACTACAGAACACAAGAACAACAAAATAAGGTTCAAACAAGTTTATTCTGAGAGCGTTTCCCTCTTTAGTTTGATTAGTCATTCATACTGCTGATCTCACAGCCCATTTACATCACTGTTTTGGAGTGAATGTACGCTTTTGTTTGTTTGGTTTTTTTTTTTTTGGTTTTTTTTTGTGCAGTGTGACCACTGTCTTTACAGACAGTGCACAGAGGATAGCAGTCATCTCCTACATCTACAAGTTCTTCTTCTGATCCACAGTATAGGCAAATTAAATCATTCCCAGGAAAGTAGTAGTACGTGATTTCAATCTTCATCAGACAAGTATAAGAATAAATAACAGCATGCAGAACTGTACAACCATTCTAACTCATTTAATTTACTAAAAATCTCTTATCGGATGATTGATTATCGGTTGCGGTTAACGGTTGCGTATTTGATACCAAGCTGATTAAGACGTGAAAATTACCTAGAATGCAATTTAATATGACAGAAATGACTTTAATAATAAAATATAGGCCTATTCAATCAACTCCAAGATACAAATAATGATGATTTCTCCTATTCAAATTATTTAAAGCTCACGTCCGGTATTCGAATAATACAAAGGTTGAACTTTTGTTCTAACTAACAAAAGAGAATATTTTGTTGTGTTGAGAATAGAAGTTTTACTGATTCCTCCTAATATTAAATTATAATATCGTAAGTCTAACAGCTCGAACTTCAGATTCCCAGCTGATTTTTTTTATTTATTTATTTTTTATTTCCCTCACATCCAACAGCAAATACACTCGCCACTTACAGGATGAGAATGATGCTTTATAAACTAAGCCTCTTTATGAGGCTAGGGAGTGGGGTTGTTTTTAGTCGTGAGAAACATTCCTGCTGTGACAAGAATTGAACCCAGGATCCTGGGATCAGAAGGCAAGCATCTTAACTACTGAGCTATTCAACTCCACTCCAAGATACAGAGAAAATCGAAAATTGGCTGAATCTTTCAACTCCAATGGATGGCCTGTTCAAGACTACCTTTTGACATACAGGCGAAGTTCCTGGACGCACCTGTGGACCATTAGGTAGGAACTCTATATTTTTCTCTATCAGATTCTGGTCAGTTGAGAGGTATCTTCGTTTCAAGAATTCTGCCATGGCCCAGACATCCACAATGAATCATTTAACTCAGTATCTGGGATAGACCTAGTTGCTTTGTCAGCTGGGGTTTTCTCGGTTGGAACATATACACTACTGGTAGTTTCGATGTATCTTGCTGACCCCAGGGGTGTCATTTTAAGCCGGCGGCCGGCGCAATCTCCGTCTATTATGATTTTTGCGCCGGCTATTAGAACGGAGGTAAAAACAAAATAGTGGCCTGAGAATCCTAGGCTCATCATGGGCTGGTCCTTGCCAAAGAACCAATACTTTTTAAATACAGAATCTAATGTCGTAAATCATATTTCTTGACCAAGCAAGTACTTGTTAAAACAAGAATTTCTATTCTTTCAAAAGCCATTGAACAACACATGAACCCCGACACGATCGACGCGACAGCAAATCAACCCACATGGCCATATCTAAAATGCGGATTCTGCGGATTATTAAAAAACTGACCGCTGACCAGATCTTGGTCAATTTGGGTTTCACTTTCTCTTTTATCAAAATTAACGATATTTATGTGAGTTTTTATGTATTAGTGAAATATATATAGGACCTACTGACGAATTTGCAGCCGAATCTGCAGTCATGTCGCATTGTCGGTCAGCCTTCAGTCAGTCAGTCAGTGATGGTAGATCTAGGCCTAAAATGGGCCTGTATTTTTCTTAAGAATGTGAAGAAACCTTTGTAAATGCTTTATTTTCTGCCTGTTGAAATCGTCTGTCATTAAAAAAATTGGTATTTAGTGAAAAGTGTTTGGAAATGTTATTATAATGGCCGCTTTTGGAAGTCGGTCAGTGAACTTTCAAAAATACTGACCGAGTATTTCTCTGCAAAAATCGCTGAATCTGCGTATATTTTCGTCTGCAAATTCATCAGTAGGTCCTATACGCTTCATTGATACATAAAATCTTTTTAAAGTATCTTTAATCTTGATGTCTGGATCAAACCGGTGGGGGATGTGTAGGGTTTTGGGCAATGACCATTCAAGCTATAAATAACCCAGATAACATGAACTCATCATATGTTCGGAATACAAAATTATTGGATAGGCCTATTACCATATTTTATGATGTTGTACAAAGAAACAGAATCAGCGAACACCTTTGATAATAATATTCAACAACAGCAGTTTTGCGAACACCTTTGATAATAATATTCAACAGCAGTTTTTGTTAACTAATTGTATAATAATACAAATAAGTTGAATGGAGGTGGAATGTACTAAGCGAATAAAAATGAAATATGACAACGTTCAAGCCAGAATTTTTTCGGTTGAGTAGGCTATAACACATTCCAGACCTTTAGTTTAAGGGTAGGCAGTAATTCCAAAGTTATCACAATGCTGTCTATTTAAAGTTTGATTCCTGGAGCCTGTTTCATAAAATGACATAAGCTAATCCTACCATTAACTCAATGCACTTTCACGGCATTTGGTTAAAGGTGGACTACCATAGCTTAAAGTCACTTTATGAAACAAGCCCCCGGTCTAGAAAAGTAGGTCAAAGTCAAAATCTATGTTATGAACCTGATACGGATACACCACCACACAGTTTTGTACCTATATAACAAATACCGGTGGTAAGCAATAATAATGAATGTGTTTTCCCCATGTTTCTCATGGCTTTTATGGAACTTTGACCTTCAAAGTAGGTCAATGTCAAAACCCATGGAATATAATGAAGTTGTATGGGATAGATATATCACATAAATTTTTGTTACTTTATCACAATTAGTTATCGAACTCGGCAAATAGGCGTAGATCCCGGGGGATGAGGGGGATATATCCCCCAAATATTTGACAAGGGGGATGGTCCATTGTATCAACCCCCAATCCCGACATGGCATGCCGAAGGTAGCCAACGTATTTGGCTCTATTAGGCTCTACCAGGAATACCAGAAAGTACACAAACACATACTTTTAGCAATTAACATAGCTGCCAGGGCATGCACTAAAACACTGACCGCTGACCATCTTGGTCAGCGGCTTTTATCAAGATGAACGATACTTTAAAAAGTTTTTATTTATCAATGAAGCGTATAGGACCTACTGATGAATTTTCAGTCGAAAATATACGCAGATTCAGCGATTTTTACAGAGAAATACTCGGTCAGTATTTTCTGAAAGTTCACTGACCAACTCAAAAAGCGACCATTATAATAATATTTCCGAACACCTTTTCACTAAATACCAATTTTTTAATGACAGACGATTTCAACAGGTAGAAAACAAAGCATTATATCATAGAATATGCGTGTATATTTTGTAAGATATTTTATTTAATATTTCATCACAAATATTAAGTCAAAAAGAAAAAAAAAATTCTGGCCGAGCGTTGAACCCCGATCGAGCAAAGAACATCGAAAAATACCACGTGATCCAAACTACGAAGTATGCTAGAAAGCAAGAATTAAACAACCTCGCCCGTCATAATGGCATGTAATCGTGTATCTCTTGTAAGATATTTAATTATCACGAATAAAGTAAGTTAACCAAATATTTTTAATGTTTTATTAACATATTTTCCCACGTCGTCACTAACAAAAACAACATTGATAGTTGATTTGAGAGAAAGGCCATGCTGTATGTACGAGCCACTCTACAAAGTACGGTATGAGGTGGATCAGGGTGTGGATGCAGAGAGCATTCGCATCCTCCTTCGTACGTACAATGGTCATGATATTATAAGTAAACTAAAAATAATGCAAATGGCCTAATTCCGGCGCATGATCTTTTTTGGAAAAGATAACAATAATTCAATAATCTATTTAATGATTGAAATAAATATATATTGTATCAACTTATACGTTTAATAAACAAAAAATTTTTTTTTCAAACCTCCGTGGTTCAAACTTCATGGACGTGGTTCAACCATGGAGGAAATATGTTAATATATTTCCTCCATGGTTCAACGTACATTCGCGTGAACAAATTCGGGGATTCCCCGTGTGCGTTGATTTGCCGTCGATTCGATCATGGACCTATAAGATTATTAATAGGTCTATGATTCGATCGTGCGTTGCTCAGTAACAACTTTTATTTTAACATGACTAAAA